AAACCGCTCCCAGTAGTCGTAAAGTGACTCTCCATCAAGCTGCTTGATTCCAAGTATTCTCCTTCGTAGTTCACTTACGTTCGTCGTAGGGAAAAACCTATCAAGAAAAAGACGAGTCATTTGAGGCCATGTAGTAATAAAATTAGGGGGAAGATAAAATAGCCACTCCTTAGTTGAATCGACTAAGGAAAAATGAAAAGCTCTAAGCTTTATTTGGTCCTTGGTTACTCCCTGTGGTCTCATGCTGGTACAGACCATATGAAATTCCATGAGATGTTTGTGTGGATTCTCGTTTGGCAATCTACGGAATGTAGAGAGGAGATGAATAAGGCCAGTTTTCAATTGGTATGGAGTATCTCATTGGGGAAAATCAATGCACAAAGGCCCTTGTTCAGTAGGTGTCGCGGCTGACTCCTGGATAGTAGGATCAGTCATCAGAATTGTATTAACGGATTCACCTAAATTTGATTCTTCTTCTGGATTTGATTGTTGTCTCCTACTTTCTTGAAGCGTCTGTGCGTGGAGACTCCTAGCTTTGACTTCGATCTCCGGGTCGTACTCCACTAATGCGCCCGAATTAGTCCTGGTCATAAATCAAAAGCAAACAAAAAATTAGTAATTTTGGAAAACTCCTCGGCAACGGCGCCAATTTGACAACTGTCGTTTCGATGTCAAATAAAATCCTTCTTCTTAATTAATAAAGGAAATATGTAACATAGAGAAGTAAGTGTTGATTCCACAGAGAGTTAGAAAATTTTAAATTTTTGTTTGAATGATTTTACCGGAAGATAAGTATTGAAATGGGGGGTTTTGGTAAAATGAAATTAAATGGTAAAAAAGATTAAATAAATAAAGATAATTAATGTAAAAGTAGGAGAGTAAAGGTTGTAAAATAGATATGGTAAAAACAGCCTCAAGCTTTGCTTTGACTCAATTTCCTTTAGATCATCGAATTAGATTTTCCCTTCGGGATTCACGTCGGTTACTTTGTCTACAAGGGCAATCTCCGTTACTCTATTTTGTATACCGAATACCCTAGGCAATCTTTGATTCCGACTTCAAAAATTGATTCTATCAACATCAATTATTTTAGATCAATTACCTTTTAAGTTTGTTGCGAGTGACTCGGATTGTTGATTCTATAATCGTCAATTCCGATCTCAAATCCCTCTTGGCGAATCTATCTCACCAAGTGTGTTTCCATGAAGTCGAATGTTCTTTCTATAAGCTGAATCTTCCTCCCACACGTTTAATCGCAACAACAATCTAGACCAAAGTTTATCTTTGATTTTAAAAACCATTTTGATTTTGAAAATAAGCGCAGAAATTGAGAGATATAATCCGAAGATATTAAGGGCCTGTTTCAATTCTCCAGTTGGAATTGAGTCATCGCTTCAGCTCTTGGCTTATGAAAAAATTAGCTAAGCATGAAAAAAGTCATACTTAGCATATTAAAAACAAATCTTAAAAATAAAAGAAAAAATAAAACTTGAAAAGTAAAAAGAGAAAGCTTTAATAAAACTAGAGAGTGAAGAAGATTGTAATTTGAGTGACGAGTTTAGGCTTACCCCAATAGGGTATTTATAGCCTCTCAAAGCCTAAGGATAAACAAAGAAAATAAAATAAAATAATCCTAAAGATAATTTTTTTTTCTAAATTCAAACTTTAAACTAGTCTCCTAATGCAACTATGCCCGTCTATCTTCTAGAAGGTGTGCTGAGGGGGTCTTCTAGAAACCGCCGTTGACTGGACCTTCTAGAAACCGTCACTGACTGGACCTTCTAGAAACCGCCGTTGACTGGACCTTCTAGAAACTGTCACGTCAGACCGCGTCATGCCCAGAGTCGTGCCAATGTCTCTATTCGTGACCAAATAATAATAATAAATACAGAATGTGCCCGTTTTGTCACTATTTCTGAAAAGTAAGGACCTGCACGAAAATAGGCATAACACAACCAAATCAGCAGCAATAAATCCAAAAAATCGAAGAAATAACAAGCAAATATTAACGATTCTGAACACTCATCAGTGTTCATTGGTAAAATGCATGAGTCTATCAAAGGTGTTAGGTGTAGATGAGTAATTTTCTGCCAAAGATTTTGGGGAAGGAACAAATTATTGTATTTGTGTTCTTAGAAGAACTTATGATGTTTAGAAATCAACCAAATCAATATCGTTATTATATTGAAGGTTAGTGATCATCAATCCTACCTATAAGTCTATGCAATATTTTGTAAGAATAGTATAAAGATGTTTGTTAATTGACTTCATTTATACATTGATCAAGCTCACAGTATATTTGCTTGGGATGACTAATCTTAAATAACATTCTAATTTGACATGAGCAAAAATTACGACATATTAAAGTGATCTAATGATGTGTAAAATCAAATAATAATCCAAATTATAGTATAGAAATTGTTGTAGTACTTTTTATTCAAAAATATTAATGTTTTAATATCAAACTCAATCAACTGGTTTTATTGTTACTAATAGGCAAATGATAGGACATATCTCTATAAATATTATTATGATATTAATAAGTATTATATATATATATATATATATATATATATATATATATATTGTCACTACACTCAATACTTATTAATATCATAATAATATTTAGAAGTTGAGATCTTAAGGAATGACAATAGTTCTTTTACCGCTAAGCTCGCTCGGTTAATACAATAATAATGATAACTTTAAATACAAATGAAGGACCACAAATATCTCATATAATATGAGATTGTTTAAACCAAAATAACTTAATGAAGTATCAAACTAATAGAAACACTGAAGCTGTAAAAAATAGGAAGAGCAAGAAAGAGGAACGAGTGCATCATGCGTTAGTCATACTCCCCAATAAAGGAGGAGGCTAGTCAGTGACATTTAACTTAAAAAGATGTTGGTGAAAGTGAAATCCTTCTATAGATCATATGCCCAACAAGTAGTTTTGAGAGCCGAGACCTGTAATAAAAGATCTGGTTGCAACAACTTGGATAACTAGTTCTACCATATGGCTGTTGGGTGAGTTCTGTTTCAAGAAGGAAATGTACTCGATTTTTCTCTATTTATAACCTATTTTTGTTACCTTTGATATGCACATCGAGATATATAACTTGAATTTGAAGGCTTAACAATTTGTAAAAAAAAAAAAAACCAAACTCTAAACTATTTCAAAGTACCAAGAGTCCTTGTTTCACCATCCGCTTCTTCTTTGATCAACGAACCCCCTTGTGGCAGCAGCGGAGCTGATTTTATTCGTGAGAAGCGAGAATAACGGTGCCGGAAGAAGACAGAGATTCCGCCGCCAATACCTTGCCACATGCAGCGGGTGTTGAAAAGGTACTACACTAGTGATGGACGGTTGATTCTCAAACAAGAGAAAGTGAGATTCAATCAATATTTCGACCCTACCGATCCAATGGTCGTTTAATATCGAAGCTTGTGCTCACAACAATATGTTTGATGATTAAGATGAAAAAGAACCAGAGATCAACGACGCGGAGTATCGAGGGATCAAAAATTTAAATAACGGTCTGTTATTGAAACAAGCAACTATTATATAACGATAAATGTGTGGTTTGAAATCATTACTTTATGACTAATACCTATAATGATTATAACAATACCAATTGCTGTCACAAACGTGATAAACACTGACAATCGAAAATGCTACTGCATCCACAATTTAAATCTTTGGTTGAGTCGATGTTTTCAATAATGAAATAGATAATATCAACGAATGTGGTGACAAAGAAGATGATGATGAAAGTAACAACAATATGGCTGAAGCTTCGCATAAAGAGGATGCATTCGCTTTGGTTGAAGACTCCATTAGAGAATGAGATTGCAGCAAATTGACAAAAATGCTTGACACACAATAGTGTAAGAGCAAGCCCATCATATTTTCTGGGTTTGCCGGTGCTAGCAATAAGGCCAGTTCACAGTTAAATTATGGTAGTCAAAAGTCCTCCAAAATAATCTAGAAAGAAAAGTAAAAGAATTCTTTTTTGGGATAAACTGAAATATGCAGGCAGTACAAATGAGCAGCTTTAGGCTTAGAAGTTCGAACTATTGTTGTCTATTACTTCAAAGGATATATAATCTTACTAGGGTTTTGTTTTATTTCGTCACAGTTCAATATAGTTTTCTCTTGTTAGTTTCTTTTTCTCTTCATTATATTTGGAAAAAAAAATTTGTGGAATTATGGATATGAAACAATAAAACATAGCACATTGAAGGTATGAATTGAATACAATCTTTTCCAAAACAGAAATCTTCTGCCCCTATATGTACCCTATGTATCCTCCAAATTTTACTTACACGTGTCAATTTTATTTTTTTATAACAAAAAGAATTACTATTTTCCTATTTTACTTCATCTTTTACCTTGAAACGATTGGAAAATTCTGGACTCCCAACACAGTGAGAACAATTGGGCCAATTACATCTCCCAGGTAAATTATTTAGCCCATTAGGGCACCCAAACTTTTAATTTAGGATCTACATCAATTGCAAAAGTTCTCATGGAACTCGTCACGTCGGCGTGACAAGTTCCATAAGATATAATTTTTTTAATGGGCCGTGTCAGGTGGGCCTCATAGCCTGATTAAAAACTAAATTTCAAATGGGACTCGTTACACCGGCGTGACGAGTCCCAATAAAAAATAATATTTTTATAATTTTTAAAAGAAAATTAAAAAAAAAATATATTTTATGGACATTGAACTCATCACGCCGGCATGACGAGTTTCAACGGCTATAATTTTGACTTTTTTGACCGTTGGATTGAACGTTGTTCAACAGTCGAATTTTTTTAAAATTTCAATGGAACTCGTCACGTTGGTGTGACGAATTCCAACGGCTATTTTCAGTTTGAAAAAAGTAGTTGTTGGGTAGAGTAGTAAATAGAGGTTTGTGTTGGATAGATTTTCACTTGTAATCAAATATTTTACTGAGAACAAAAACTTTTGTGTTGAAGAGTTTTTGTTGAAATGGCATCAAAAGGTGAAATGTTACGTCTTGATGAAGTTCATATTTCGTCGATCGAGTTGATAACGGTAAGTTTAATTTGTTTTATTTCATTTTAGTTTTGACAAAATTATAGTATTAATAATAATTATTTTATGTAATTGTATTAAATAATTTATTTTCAAATTGTAGCGAGAAGAACGAACCATTCGTCGTCGAGGAATGACGAATGAAGAGCCACATCAGCGGATGGTGATATATCTTTCACAATCTGGTTTATATGGAGCGACGTTTCTTCGCGAATTTAAGGTGATGTCGGCATTTATACCGGTGTTGATTGAGCGTTGGAGGCCTGAAACGCATACGTTTCATTTACCTTGCGGTGAAGTGACGATACCTTTGGAAGATGTCGCGTATCAACTTGGCGTTCCGATTAATGGTATGCCATTGGTGCTTCGCAACACTTATAAGGTAAATGTTCTTATTTCAAATTTATTGGGAAAGGAGGGTCCAACCGATTTTATTGATGGGTTGCGGGTATGAATGACGTGGTTGGAAAGCGGATTTAGAGTAGATGAACAATCAATGGAGCAAGAGGTGATATATGCAGCTCGAGCATATCTTTTGACGTTGATCGGAGGGATCTTGTTTCCGGATAAATTGGGCAATTTGGTGCACACCTAATATCTTCCGATAATGGAGGATTTTGATGTATGTCGCAATATAGTTGGGGTTCTACAATTTTGGCATTTTTTGTACCGTGAACTATGTAAGGCGACCGTAGTCGTTAGAGGAAAAAAGCGGATGTAGCGGGTTGTTTAGTTTGCTCCAATCATGGGCGTGGTATCGTCTCCCGTTTATGACGCCTATTACATCAACTCCTATAGAGTTTCCTCTCGCCGCAAGGTAAATTCATATATTTAAAATTTTGATATTTTATAATATTTATTTAAATATTTTGAAAATGACAAGAAATAACGTAATTTTTTAGATGGCGACACCGAATAGTCGATACAAAGTTGTCGGGTGCAACCAAATTAGATATTCAGATGAGAATTGATATCACCAGTAGACATGCAATAAATTTTCGTATTTTTTGCATTAAATTTTAAATTGTAATATTAATTGTTTAATTATACTAACATAATACTTTTAACAGTTAATTGGATGCCTTATTATGAGTCAGATATCCAATGGTGTCTACGGCTAATGTTCTTTGAAGGAGCGGACACATGGTGTGCCATAACACCATTGCTCCATTTACAATTATTGATATCCACACCGCCGATAGAATTTTGTGACAATTTTGGTTTCACTAACCGATAGAAATGTCAATATATAACATTAACGATTTGCATAAAGTAGATGCGCGTGGGAAGCATTCCGAAGATTGGTCGAGGAAGCATGCTACATTCATATATGAATGGAAAAATAGACACTTACGATTGCCTAATCATTCCGAGGTACAACCCGAAGATTTTGATTTCAATGTTTCTCCCTACCTCTAAAATTTTGAAGCAAATGGGAAACCGTATTTGAAAACGGTAGAGGAGCGGTCCGAGTAGGAAATAATGAAGGGAAAATATGGGGGAAAAACATCATCATCATCTTCATCAACATCTTTATCTTATGCTTCCGCAATTATTATCCATCGTAAGAAAGTTATGGTGGATATGATACATATCAACCATCGATGGAGAGTCGAGCAACGTGGGAAGGAAGTGGGTGGGATCAAGTGCCACATTCACAACAATTTTCCTTAGAATCAGAAGAAAGAGATCAATAGGATCATCTTCTTCATCACAGACGATCTCAATTTGAGGCGATGGCGTCAATGATGGCATCAAATACATTGTGTACTCCATCGTTTTCACCCGAAGATTTATATCAAAGTGGTGGAGTAGTGTTCGAAACACCGAAATAGGAACCAGAAGAAACGGAAAATAAAGAAACTGGACGACCATGACGAAATCGACGAGAACCACGTCATTATCATTCTACCACACCTCGACATCGGCAAGAATTGCGCAAATATAAGTAATAAATTTGTTTATTTAAGTTTTTGTAATCAATATTTAATTGTATAAAAAAGTAATTTTTAAGTAATTAAATCTTCCTTGATTTTGTGTTTAAAATAACTTTTGCACTTTTATGTATAAAGAAAAATACATGAAAAATGACCTCATTAGGGGAGTTTATGATTTTTCATGAAAATTAACAATATGTTCAAATTATGCTTAAGTGTATGTTTGTTTGCTTGAACATACTTGATTTTCCCAATTAGAATTGCCTATACCACTATTCTTTTTGAAATTTGCATCCTATGTGTTTTGTTGCAATTTTTGAACCATTTGTGCACTTAGTATCGATATTGTTCATCTAGTATCGATATTGTTCTTGCTTAGTATCGATACTATTCATCATTTCACTTTATTTTCAATCGCTGATGGAGACATTGGATATGAGGTTTGCATCCATGGAGTCTTTTACTGCCTTGGGGACTCAACTGACCAAGCTGCAACGCAACACCCATGCTCAATTCGACGCCGTCAATGATAGGCTCGATACTCTTTCTCAAGATGTTGCATCTTTCCGTGCATCTCGTTCGGATCTCGATCCACCATCAGATGCTTGATAATGCAATTGCTATGCTAGTTGTTTTTGTTGACATTTCAAATATCATACGTTGAACCTTAAATTACTTAACATTTTATATTTCGCTATTTCATCCTTTCGATTGACTCAACACTTTCAACTTTCATTTAATTCTTCGCATTTGATATTTGGATTTAGTTATACTATTATGTTTTGGATGATCGTATTTATATTTATCATATTCATATATTTTTATTACCATTTTACCCCTTATTATGTTTATGACCATGCCCACTATATTTTGAATATTTTATGTTTAAAATTTGAGACCTATACTTTAAAAGTTTTTGAAATAATTTTTATTAAGGATTTCAAACTTTAGTCTAGTAAAAAATAATTTTTAAATATAGTTGTACTACTGCTATAACAGTACCGATACTGTTAAAGAAGTATCGATACATATATCGATACTAAAACCCAAAATATTGAAGTAATACTGATACTACTGATGCAATACCGGTACTGTAAAAACATAATGCTAAAATTGTACCGATACTATCAAAACATAATGCTATAATGGTACTGATACCATATATGATATCGATACTACACAGAGTAGTAGTACCGATACTGCTGAGGCAGTAACGATACTTTCAAAACAGAATTCTAGAATGGTACCGATACCATATATGATATCGATACTACTTAGATTAGTAGTATCGATACTTTGAGTAATGGTACCGATACTAATCCTTTAGTTTTGAGTCAGCTAAATTTGCATTGAATTTTTTTTTTTAAAAATGAAAATTATAGCCGTTGGAATGTGACGAGTTCCATGTCCATAAAATATTATTTTTTTTTAATTTTCTTTTAAAAAATTATAATTTTTTTATTCTTGAAATTTATTTTTAATCAGGCTGTGGGGTCTACCTGACACGATCCATTAAAAAATTATATCCCATGAAACTTATCATGCCGGCGTGACGAGTTCCATAGGGACTATTGCAATTGTCATAGATCCCAAATTAAAAGTTTGGGTGCCCTAATGGGCTAAATAATTTACCCGGGAGCCGTAATGGGCCAATTTGGCCGAATCATTGCCCAAGGACAACCATGATCTAGTTCACATTGTTTACAAGCATGGGAGTCTCATTCCCGCTGAAACGATTCCTGCAACAACGCACTAATCTAACTCATTTTCTGTAATTATCATGACTACTGTTAGAATTAAAATATTAATCCGAGATGATATAATAATAATGATAAATATTATTATATAATCAAACGAAACAAAATAAATAAAATTTAAAGTAGAGGCACGAAATTATTTCACTCATATTTAGACACTGAATCAGATGAGTAGAGTAACATAAATTGAAGAAGAAGAATTTGTTGAGGCCTGTATGAACATTTTCTTCCTAATTCAACTTTGTGAATTGCGTCTTAAAGTTGTCTCTCAAGTGTTTCTAAGATTGTCCCTCAACTACCTATTTATAGGTGAAGGGATATGAATCAAAAGGTTAGGATCTTTTGATGAATAGCTAAAACATTTCATAAAAAGAATTGTTGAAAGCTAATAAGTATAATTGAATGGATGAAACTAAAAATTAAGTCCATTCACTAAGTGACATGACTTATTATAATAAGTCTATTCACCAAGTGACATGACTTATTATAGATAACATCAATTTTATTCAATTAAATCATTATTTTCCAAAAAATACAAAAATGCAAAGAAACCTTAAAATACAACCAAGCAACCAACTAAAAAGAATAGATAAAATAAACATTTTTAAGAGAAAGGAAAGAAAGTGTGAAGATAGTCAAGAGAAGGCATGAAGCATGAAAGTCCCTTGAGCTTATTACTGGAGAAAAAAACAAACAATTAAGAGAATCTTACCTTGGCATTGGTTCATATAATGAAAATGACAAAGAAAACATTGTCAAGGAAAAAATGAAAAAAGGAAAATGTACATAAAAAGATAGAAGGGAGCTTGTTGGAGTTTGAGTTTAAAGTTTAAACTTAAAGAGTTAGTTATGGGGATGGCTTCCGTCGGGGTTAGAGCAAAGAGCAGAACTTTCGAGGGTGTTTGATTATTTCTTAATTGATTGGACAAGGAAAAAAAACTATTCAGATATTGATTTAGACATTTGTTATTTGCAGGCCAAAAATCAAGTTAAAAGAGTTGTATCAACTTGCATCTCCCATTGCCAAATGTTTCATTTTGCAAGAAAATAAACTATTAATGAAAATGGAGATAAATTAGTTTGAATCTCAAATAACGAAGATAACCCTACTTTTCAATGTGTCGAGGTTTAGAATTTTACCGAATGAGTTTAAAGGTAGAAGATGAAGTAAAATAGGAAAGTAGTAAAAAAATAAAATTGACACGTATAAGAAAAAATATATGAGGGATACACATAGGGGACGAGGGTTTCTGTTCTCTTTTCCATGCTTATTTTAATTAACCTTTAACCATAATATCACGCAAATTGTGCCAGTTTCAAATCGTAAATTTCCTTTTGGGTTGGTTGATTAGTTCTTAATTGATTGTAACATGGAAATAAAACTGACTAAAACTATTCAGATTATACCATTTAGACATTGTTATTTGAAGGCCAAAAATCAAATTATAAAAGTTCGTATCAAATTGCATCTCCCATTGCCAATGTTTCGTTTTGCATGAAATAAACTATTAACGAAGATGGAGATAAATTAGTTTGAATATCAAAAACGAAGATGACCCTACTTTTTGTTGCGGAAGACGGCTATCGGATAGAGCAAAATCGCAACTGATAATTTGAGAAAATAAAAATGAAGATAAAATAACACAATTTTATGTGGAAAACCCCTAAATAATATAGGGTAAAAACCACGGCAATGGTAGAAGAATTTCACTATGAAAAATATGAATTACAACCTCTCTCGATCTACCAGGAGAATACAA